GTCAAACTTTGTAGCAGTCAATTCAGCATTTCCTTCTTGATTTTTTTTATTTTTACGAATCTATTTTATTTTATTTACATAAATCTCTTAACATTTATCATTTTACACTTCTTCATTTACTGAATTGAAACACTACAATGTGCCATGAGCGAAGACCGTATCGAATTTAACAGGAGAATAACAAACTAAGAATGATAAGAAACACCATTAAAATAAAGTTAAAATCTCACTTCATGATTCATAAGAGAATAACTAAAAACTAAACAAAAATAGAAAGAAATAATAACGAAATAGAAAATTACAATAACAAACATTTGGAATTGAACCCTGGATATCGGTTTACTATTTGGACGATATTTCAAAAATACGATGAAATAACGATTGTATTTCGGAAATTTCGAAGGAGTTCACGTTATTATGAAGTGGATATGTGTGATGTGAGTTTGCTACCAACAATTTTTTCAATGGAAAAGAAAAAAAAATTAAAAAACTTTATAACACTCCATTGTATTATAATTACTAAGGGCAATGGAAACAGAGATGTCAGTAACATGATTAAATTGTTGCTTGAGGTTTTATGAATTCTTAACTATTTCCAATTAGGAGGTATAAGTTTGAAAATAACTATTTATTGAATTATATAAAAAATCTTGTTTTTTTAAACATATGTTCAACACCAAATTGTATTTTTTTTTTCCTAATCTATTTGTCTATCTATTTGGGCTCAAATTTAAATGTTAACATATATTTCGTGGTTCAGATCCACTTTTATCAAATTATTAACATTCGCCTGAAGATTTGTAAATAACTTCATATCATTGTAACCTACAAATATTTTATTTACGAAAATTCTCGGAATTAGGTCGTTTTCAATCTGGAAATCGGCAAACTTTGTCTATACAATTAGATACTAAAAACCCACTTGTATTCCACTCGAATCGTAAGATAATTTTAGCAAAAAGTCGAGAAAAAATTCGTTTGGCGTGACCTACATGCCCAAATTGTCAAAATAACGAGGTTATATTGGCTGAACGGTCCAATATTTTTGTAGGATACTTTTTCATCGAGTTTACGATCAAATTATCTTACAAACCAAGCGGAGAGGAAATGGGTATTTACGAGTTTTTAGTACCTTATTAAATAGACAAAGTTTGATAAGAATTTTCGTAAATAAAATATTTGTAGGTCACGATGAGATGAAGGTATTTAGGAAGTTTCTAGCGGATGTTAATAATTTGATAAAAAGGGGCCTGTGTCACGGAGTAATACTTGTTTAATTATATTGGCATCGAACCTTCGGTTCATTAAAGGTATGTCAATAAACCAAGTTAAATAAAGAACCCTGAGTTAATTTATCTTTATTATTATACCTAGATTCCCCGATTTTTAACTTCTTCTAGAACCTTCCAAATACCCGGAGCTACTAAGAGAACGATATCGAAGTCTCATGTAAGAGGTTGATGGTGCAATTGACGAGGATGGGACCGAACCACTCGAGAGGCGCCATCCACGGCAGAACGTGAAGAGCCCTCCGCGTTGCGAAACAAGTTCGTGAGATGGCCATCGATATCATATTCGGTCCTGGTTCTTCTGTTTGTACCATCTCGAAAGGATCTCGCACGTTACGAAGGAGATGCTACTTCCGTTTACATAAAAGAGAATGGTGCAAGATGGGGACATCGCTGCGGTGGAGCTACATGAGATGGGTCATCTGAGGCTACAGAGCACTGATAGACTATAAGTTATTAAACAAAACTTATATAACATAACACGTATGTTATTATGTAACACGTTTACTAATTGTTACCCATTGAAATACATTGTTAATGACGATACGAAAAAAATAAGGTATACCAAGGTGCTAAGGTATACCAAGTGAGACTTACTCACCATTTCCATTGGCCCACATTTGACTATATCTCAAGGTCTACTACTAATAATACTACTTTTACTAATTCTCACCTTTGTTATAGCTTTGAGCCAAATCGAACGAGCCGTTTATGAAACATCGGGATATCCTAGAAAATACATTTGCTCGAGCGCAATCGGAAGTACAGTACACAATTTAATAAAATCAATACAGCACCATTATTTTACCAAAACCAACTTTTCTTTTAACTTTGAGCCAAATATAAGGAGCCTTTTCTTATCGACATATATAAGAAAATAAATTTGCGCGTGCGAAATCTATACATCTTCATAATTTTATCAATACCTACATTTCTTTCAAAGTTAAGCCAAATCAAACGAGCTGTTTCCGAAATATTGGCATACTTAAGAAAATACATTTTCGCGTGCACTGCATGAAATTCAATAAAATGGATACATCATCATTATTTTATTGATTGACAGACCTTTCCATATCCTTTGAGCAGCATCGATCGAGCCGTTTCTGAAGTATTGCCATATCTACTAAAATACATTTGCGCGTCCGCAACAGGAAATACTATATGAAATTGAAATGTGACCATCAAGGCACCAACCCGCACAATCTCTAAAAATATCATGAAAAACGGATAAATGGTAGTAGGTTGAACCAAACATCCATGATGTCTGAAACGTAAAACACGAGTGGAAATTTTCGACTGTGAGCACAAAATCCATAACCTCTCGCACGAAGACAAAGCTTCCCTACCTTTGGTAGTGAGGAAGCAAACAGAGAATATCATCCAATGCATAGGTAAACTACAGAGTCATCATCCAAATGCATAGGTAAACTACAATATATCAAATAATAAATTATAATTAAATATCGCGGCAATTTAGTAAAAGGAACTTATGAGATAATTTCGTTGGTTTATTGCAATAACTCACTAAGCACATTTTTGATGTTGGTCAACTTTCAAAAGTGTTTATGTGGATTTCGATCTCCTTTACCGATTCAAAAATAACGTAAATAAATTTACTTCAAACTTAATTTTATAATCTGATAATGCTACACATTTTTTAATGTTGTAAGATATAATTAGACTTTTTATCTCTCATGAACACCTCAGATACTCATGTGTATCAGTGTTGACCCAAAAAATATTTTTTATCATCTTCCGTGTTATTAATAACCACGTTTTCCCTTAAAGACTTTTTCCAACGCCTGGGTTTCAGGTCACCACTGTGAAAGAGGACACGGTGACTCCTTTTTTTTCTTTAACACGAGAGCTTTCTTTAGCTTCATTTTTTAAAGGCTATGTTTGTGTTTTACAAATCACAATTCGACAAAGTGATGTGTTACTGTCATGTGTAAGCTTTCTAATATACTCAAGAGCTTCTAGCAAACAATGACATCATAAATGGATTTTATGATCATATACATATATATATATATATATATTCATATATATATATATATATATATATATATAATATGTTTAAAAATTATATTCAGGTAAAAAAACGAACCTAAGTAATTAATCAAACAAATAACTAAAAAACAGAGCGTTCATTACCACAACACACAGATTATAAATGATAAAGGCCTAAATATTTGAAATGTCATCGATCAATGTTTGTTTTCTTTATGAAATTAGTTCTTTTAACAGCAGTCGTAAACAAAGATATTAATACAATGACCAGGCGAACAACAGAAGATAAAAACTTTCACCACTTACGTTCGAAGAACAAATGACTATATAAGAAGTAGTTATGTAAATATATAGGATTATACACTACAATACAACCAATCAGTCATTAGGATAGCTCATATTAATAACATAAATTATCAACAAAATTAAAAATATTAATCAAATAAATTAAAAAAAATTATTCCACATAAACTAAGTTCTAGAAATAAAAAATCATACCGCAATCTTCGAAACCTTTTTTAGAGTTTAAATAGTCCTTACCTAAAAAAAAATAAGAAAATATTATATAGCAGTAACTATTAGCTACCATAACATAGTACTTAAAAAAAAAGAAGATAAATTTAAAATAAGATTTCAGAAAATGGAATAAAGATACAAATCTATTTTTTAAAATTATATTCTATATTTTCATCATGGTTATTTAATGAGTATCAGAATTTTACAAAGGATTAGATACGGTAGAAACGAATTGTCATATAAAGTCACCTTTATGAGCTTTCAGTAATAAATAACAATAATAAACAAATATATAATTTACATCACTTGTATATGTGACCGGAATTTATAAACAAAGAAGAGTAAAACTTTAAATAAAATATTATATTGTCATAGAGAAATAATAAATTCTGTCACACTTGGGGGCGACATGTATTAAAGTTATTGCTAAACCAGAATATTTACTGATATATAAAAGTTATAAAATAATAAAATTTATAAATTGTAGCCATTTTTATTTATTTATTGAAATTTAAAAATTGTACTAAATAAATATTACTAGTGAATATGATCTATCAAGAGTAATGGCATGAACAGACTAGTGGAGAAACAACTCAATAATAGCACTCACTAAATATAATAGTTCTAAGTAAGAAAATCTTGTTTTCAGACGCCTAGGAGGAGTATCAGGAATTGAGGAAGAAGCAACAAGGGTGGAAACAAGTGGATTCGGATGGGACTGGAGTTTGTCATGAAAGGATATAAATCTTGCTTGGGCTAAATCAGCGATATATGGAACATTAAGGATTTTACGAAGGATTTTGGTTTGTTTGGATTGGATACGATAGTTGTTTGATGGTTTGGTGGAGCCCCAAAGCCCAACTCCTGTCCATATAGGTCTCTCATTATAGTCATGTAAATGAGTCTTTTATAATTAATTGAAAGTTTACAGCGTTTGTCTAGTAAATGTTGGAGCAGCTAACCAAAGTTAAAATAGTGAAATGAAAACAAACTAGCAAGGTCGTTGTATGGGATAAAGAATACTCTATTCGAGATTTCTCATTAACAAGAGGAAGAGAAACTGTGTTAACAACTAAGAAAAAAACCCAACGCTAACAAAGTGCATTAAATTAAATAGCAATTAACGGTTGCTATAAGGCTAATGGGAAGTTTACAAGTTCCCCAACATAATGGCCAAGGGGATTTTTATCTGGGATCGGATCGGGCACAAGGAGAGCTATACACAGGCCAGGGGGAGGGAAATTTTCTCATGCAATTAGCGATAAACCCAACGTTGTAAGGGAACCGCGGGAAAGCTGGAGTAAGACAACAAGGAAGAGCAGATCCTGCAGATGACCTCTCGAGGAAGAGATCTGCCGGTACACGGAATGCCCCACCGTGTTTTGAAAGTTGCGAAGGGGGGGACGCAGGTTCTAAATCGTTGCGTAAATATCTGGAGAATCTATGTAACGTGGGCGAACCCCATCGGCGAGGAGTTTTCGCACAAATTATACAATCTGTGAATTCAAAATTATAGAAAAGTTACCTCGTATTGATACTTCCTCAATCAGAACATAAAAACTCATTTCAAGTTTAGAAAAGGAAATCACTTATGTCAAAAATAAAAACGTTTGGTAATAATTTGAACGAAATTTGGGATTAACTAATAAGTACTTATCCATTTCATGCGTGGTTTCCAAACACAAAATAAATAAAAACAATTTACGCTAAAAATATAACATTAAATCGAAATTGTTTACAGTTTTTGTTACACTTAGTATTAAACTTTTACATCTTAGAAAATAAAAATAATACGACTCTTTTGAGGAATCAGACCTGCCCAAGGATCGATTCACTGGATGCAAAATGAGCTACCTCTGAACCGACTAACTCACTGAAACATTTAAAAAATCTGAAAATAATGTGAAATTTGAACCTACAAATCTTTGGTATAATACCGGAATCCCGGTCATCCCGATCAACCTTATACGAAAACCAGACCTTTTTTTATAGTTTTGATTTCGCTTTGAATATGGTAATTTTAAATTTAGACCTTTTTTTAGCCTATATCGACATAATATTGCATAATGTTAATAGAAATTCTTAATAATCATTACGCAACGAAAGATGTATTACAAAAAAAACTTAATCTACATGTTTGATTTTTAATACAAACATGCACAAGATCGTATATTATACCCATTTTTTTTTTTTTTTTTTTTGGCCATGAAACGGCCTTTTAAGACCGCGGGAATATCATTACTTTTCGTTTCTCATTTTCGCTTTTCTCTTCTCCAAGTATCTTATCATTTATGTCTGTTTTTGATTCCCCATTTTCGACCACGCAGTCTTCTTTTTCCGTTTTTCTTTATTTTCCACATGAACCTTAATTTTTATTTTTTTTTTTCCGTATTTTTACCTATCCAGGCAGTCTTTGTCTGTTATTTTCAATTTTTTGTCCCCTCTCATTTGTTTTACATATCCTCTTACGCTCTTGTATTCACGGATTCTGTCAAAGATTTTTCTTGTTCTATTCTTAATTCAATTAGTCCTTTCTTATTATGTGGCCCTAGAATTTTAGTCTTGTGATTCTTATTTAAGTTTAAAGGGTATAATTCTATTTTTCTCTAAATCCTAACATTAATTTTTCGAAACTTCAGAATTATGATCTTACTATACCACTTACTATGCCATTTATCATATATATTATATATGCATATAATTTCGTCTATATGTATATTTTCTTTTATTTTCACCGATCAATCTACATCTTAGGATTTAGATTATATAGGACTTGTATAATGTTTACAATACTATTTGTAGTATTCTTTGAACATATTAAAGTGCATATGTAAATCATTTAAAGTAAATATTTATCCACTGTTTTATTATGATTGCTTTCATTAATACAATGGTATGACAACAAAAGTAATTAGTCGTTCATTTCAAATTTCACTTAAAATTCCATAGTTTATTGTTTTTAGAAACTATCTTGTAGTGTTAGGACCTTATTGCTCATATTATGTCTTTAATTTATCAGTATAGTTATGTAAATCCCTCTGTTAATACTTATTTTTTAGGGTTTTTTTGTGTTTTTTTTTTATTGTAGTATGCATTTTGGCCAGATGTTATGTTAATTTTTATATACAATATTACCATTGTTGTAAATAAAAAAAAAATAATAAATAAAATAAATATACAACATTGTTATTCTCAAGGGACTTTGTCCCAGAATAAAGTTGATTCGTCTATTCTATTCTATTCTATACAAGCAACCAAATGTTTTTGACCCGTGTAGACAAAAAAAAAAAATATATAATACTATTAGAACTGTATACTTATTAATAATAATGTCAGAATACCTATCCCTTGTATAAGAACCAGTAGTGAGCAATTAATTAAAATTCTGTGGAAATGTGGTTCGAATAAATTACGATAAAATATTTCCTTAAAATTTATATGAGGCTTAATTACAACTCATTAGGCCAATAATAAATTAGCCCGAAGCTATCATAAAGTACAACAATTATTCATAAAGTTACGTAAAGATTATAAACGAGCACGTTTATGGATATTTACTTGGAGAACCAGCATTTATTAAAGTTGTATATAAAAAAAAAATAAAAAAAAATCTAGACATATCAAAGCGGTTAACCGGTCACTATTTAAGAGTAGAAACCTAGTCTCAGCATACGAGGCACTATAAGGATTTGTATATATACCTCTCAGGAATCTCAGGGACGAAATGTCCTGTTTGAACAAGATAATATATATATATGTCTCCTAGCAAGGTATTTTCTAGCTAGGAATACAATTATTTACTTCTACATAATACTGCCATAAATAAGATCGTTATTTCCTTGCTCCTGTGGTTTATGAGTAAAAAAAAAATCATGTGTACACATATGAATCAGATGAGCATAGCTCAGGAAATTTCAGAGGATCTTGACTTTTAAAAAAACTTATCATCTACAAACATGAATCATCAAAAGGACTTGGAGAAACTAATAGGAAGTTTGAAAAATCAATAATAATCACAGAATGTTTATTTTTTTATTAAACGAGACTATTAATTATTTAAATTTTATAAATTAATTAAATCACTTATTCAATTCACTAACTTTACTTATTTCATAAAACTACATTTTAAATAGATATTTAATGGTATACATAAACTATACATTAAGCAAATAAACATTAGATGAACAAATTATTAGTAATTTTAAACATTTATCTTTTATTCAATAATTATTATCTCTTTAAACAACATTATATTTTACCAAAATATTAAGTGTCTATATAGTTCTTTCTTTCGGTGGAACTAACTCTATGAAAGGACCGTTAGTGTAACAATGAATAAAAAATGGATGTGTAACACCAAATAAATATATAATGAACGTGAGAAATATTTAAATTTTTGACAAATGGTGCCACATCAAAAAAGCAAGTTTCAGTGAATATAAGGATTGCTCTGATGATGGTGATAAATGTGAATAAAGGGATTTGAATGAAATTGGAAGTTTTTTGCCTTAATTATGAAAAAATATATAAACGTATGCTTTCTAAAAAAAGAAAAATAAGAAGAGAACAAATAATTAGTAATTTTTAACACTTATTTTCTTATTCAATAATTATTATCTCTACACGACATTATAATTTGCAAAAATATTAAGTTTCTATATAGTTTTTTCTTTCTGTGGAACTAACGCTATGAAAGGACCGTTTACTTATTGGTGCATTCCACAAAAATGTGCACAATGTATATATAATGTAATATGTGTACCTATATACAGCAGTACAAAGCTTTAATTTTTATCAATTTTAACTAAATATATTTTATTAGATAAAGCAACATTTTCTTTTTCAATTATACCTATAATAATTTAATTATACGTTGAACAAATCAAACATATAAACCCTAAAAATAATATGAAATTATATATTTTATTTTGTTAATTTTTACTGACAATTAGTAATAATTTATATTTATTTTATAACAATCATATTCAACCTAATCCAACCGGCTCATAAGCGGCGGCAAAATTTTCTTATTTTAGTAATTTGTTTTTTGTTATAATAATAATAAGAAGAAAATATTTTTTTGCAGCATGATTTAGTATTATAATGAAATTTATAATAACAAATATTAAAACTTGACAACAAAATAGCCCAATTACAAAATAATAATTTAGGCCAAAATGCTAACACTTAACGTTGATAACGGAGAAAAAAAAAAACTGTGTCAAGTACCAGCATCCTTGACTAATAACGTTAACACGTCATATCGTTATAAGAAATGCAAGAAAAAGAAGAGAATGTGAGAGCTATTCCTCCTTATAAGTCTTCCTCTTCCATGCCCTAAAAGTATCTTCTCACGAATGTTAATAAAAAGAAGACACGTAAAACTTTCTCCATGCAACAATAAAACGCCTTGTGAGATATCATTAACCTCTTATACACCTCTCGGTAACATGAGCAAGCTTGTCTAACGATTATCTCTGGTAGTGCAAGTAATACATTTTAAACAGGCAAGCCTCTACAAGATTTCCAGCATTATAATTATCAGTAAACAAACAAGGTATTAATATTTGAGCGAGGAGGAAGAGAAAACGTACAAGCTTACATTATAACTTTGACATGAGATTCCTTTCAAGGGACATCGGCATTTTCCAAAGAATTCAGTTCTAGAAAGGAGTACGCCATGGTCTCATTAGGATTACAGAGTATCTACTTGAAAAAGTCTCGTCTAGTGAAAAGAAACCGATGAATAATGTAAAGCTAACTTCCAACACTGACTGTATAGCTCTAAAAATTTCTAGCAAAGGATGGAATATGGAAGGTCCAATATCGATAGTCAATATCTATATCGGTATTATAAAACATTTTTGAAATATATTAATATTGATTCTTTAACATATAGGGACATCAAAAAATATGTTATTATTCTCTTTAAATTAATTAATGTAAATATCTATTCTTCTGCCCTTCTTAGTAAAATTCATTTTTTAGTTCCTATATATCTTCATCCTCAATATTTAACCAATTAGGGCTTTCATTGTACAATAGATCGGATTCATCGAAATACTAATTTATCTGTATCATACATAGATTTCAAGTTTTAATATTTGTTATTATAAATTTCATTATAATACTAAATCATGCCGCGAAAAAAATATTTTCTTATTATTATTATTACAAAAAACAAATTACTAAAATAAGAAAATTTTACCACTGCTTATGAGCAGGAAGGATTAGGTTGAATAGGATTGTTATAAAATAAATAAAAAATATTACTCATTGGCAGTAAAAATTAACAAAATAAAATATATAATTATATATTATTTTTAGGATTTATATGTTTGATTTTTTCAACGTATAATTTAATTATTATAGGTATAATTGAAAAAGAAAATATTGCTTTATGAAATAAAATATATTTATTAAGTTTAACTGAAGGAGAATTAATATTGAAAGTGATCGGACGGAGTGGGGTGCCATGAATTTTTCAGACCTCTCTTTTACCCGATCCTTCTTAAAATCCCATGACAATATAATCATAAAGGCAACAAAACTGTAATTATGGACCATACAGAATATACTGACAAAATGACTTTACTCCTATCAAACCGTTCAACTTACTCTCCTACATCCCGTGATCTCACCTCATCATTAAAAACCAAATTTAACCTACACCTAAAAAATCTTTTAAATTCTAAACTTATAAACTATCCTACTTACAGAAACCTGATCTCCTACAATTCAGTTGCTCCCCGTTTTTATGGACTTCCTAAAATCCACAAACCTGGCACCCCACTCCGTCCGATCACTTCCAATATTAATTCTCCTTCAGTTAAACTTAGCAAATTCTTACTACCTTCCTTACAAAATATATTTATACTTTGTACCACTATATACAGGTACACATAATATATTATATATGTACCTATTGTACATTTGCGTGGAATGCACCAAT